ATATATATTTTTATATATATATATATATATATATATATATATATATATATATATATATATATATATATGTATATATATATATATATATATATATATATATATATATATATTTATATATATATATATGTATATATATATATATATATATATATATATATATATATATATATATATATATATATATATATATATATATATATATATATATATATATATATATATATATATATATATATATATATATAAATACACATACACTGTTGAAGTCAGAATTATTAGTCCCTTTTTTTTTCTTTTTTTTTTATATTTACCAAATGATGTTTAACAGATTCAGGACATTTTCACAGTATGTCTGATAATATTTTTTTCTTCTGGAGAAAGTCTTATTTGTTTTATTTTGCCTAGAATAAAATCTGTTTTATTTATTTATTATTATTTTTTTTAGAATAAAGGTTACAATTGTTTATATTAGTGAATGTATTTGCTAACATTAACCATCAATGACTTATACAGCATTTATAATCATTTGAATGCTCAAAAAACACTACCCGTTGCCACTCCCTGCCTTAAAAGCAATATTTGGTGGTTTTGTGGGCGTGGCCAGCCCTGAATGCATTTTCAAAACCTCATTGACTGAACATTCATTGTGACTTATTAATTGAAAACAACAATTTTAAGAGTGAGTTGCGTTAAAAAAGATGCAACTCTCCAAATGCTGAATCTGATTGTACATGTTACCCATAAAAATTAAATTTGGTTATTACATTTTCCACTTCAAATTTGCAACTTAAAAGTGTTAAAATATGCATGTTAATGGCATATTAAAGCCATGTTTGGAAATGGCAAATGTAAATGGTAGAATTTCAATTTATTTTAATTTTGGTCCAATCTTTGCTCATATTTTGTAGAAAATGCTCAATCTATTGTATTCTACACATCACATAAAAAATATTGCTCACACAACTTTCACATTAACAAAGATGAATAAATACTGTAATAAATATGTTTTTCATGTAATAAAAACATTAAATTAACTACCTAAACCTTGTTGTGAACCTTTTTGTTTTTAGCAGACCACATGATTCCTCTTTCTAGACGGCAAAAGTGACCAATAAGAAGCCAGGATGGGAACAATCCACTTTAAAATGATGAGCACACAAAGCACTGGTTGAATTAAACTATAACTACCATTAAAACAATAAAGCAATCGTGGCTTGTGCTCTATGAAGTTAAAGATTCACCTGTATTTGAGCTGACAGCTATCTAAAAGTCTAGTGAACTCTGGAGCACAGCAGCTTTCACTCCGAGTACAGCTGACTGGACAAACTGTGTGAACTCTACTACACAGAAATAATTATGCAGTGTTTTACAAAGGCGAGATGTCCCATTCTGGAGTTGATGAATGACCTAAGTGAATGTGTTTATATAGTTGAAGCCAAAATTATTAGCCCTCCAGTGTAATTTGTTTTCTTTTTACAAATATTTCCCAAGTGATGTTTAAAGGGCCGTTGAGATATAGTGAAAGTGCAAGATTTCTTGCTCAGTTTGTGCTCATGTAGTAATTAAGCAACCATCAACTATTCTCATTTATTCATTTTCCTTCGACTTAGTCCCTTTATTCATCAGGGGTTGCTACAGCAGAATGAACCGCCAACCTATTCAGCATATTTACACAGCGGATGCCCTTCCAGCTGCAACCCATTACTGGGAAACATCCACACACACTCATTCACACACATACACTACGGCCAATTTAGCTCATTTAATTCACCTATAGCACATGTCCTCCCCACATGAACAAGCGGAGAACATGCAAACTCCAGGCAAAAATGCCAACATACCCAGTAGGGACTCGAACCAGGGACCTTCTTACTGTGAGGGAACAGTGCTAACCACTGAGCCACCATGTCAATTGTTCTCTCAGAGGGTAAATCAATAAATTAATTTCAATTTTATTTGGATTGCGTATTTCACAATAATTATTGTTCCTTTACAAAAGACGTGCATTATTGCAATACAATCAAATTCAGAAAAGTTAAGATTATTAGTTACTATAACTTTATTAGTTACTAATAACTAATTAACTAGAAACTAAGCTTTTAATAGTTAAAGATATTACATATAAACATAGTTACCCTGAAGTTATCTAGTATATAGGTGATGATGACTATGTATGCAAACAAATTGACCAATCCTTGCTGCAGCTCTGATACAAGTTTTAAAAAGCACTGCAGTGTTTGGGTGCTCTTAAGTTTGTCTGTTAGTCTACTGGTATTACTGAAATGTGTACGTTCTATGCAAAGTATGAAGCTGACAAGTTAATTCTAGTCACGACTCGCAGTGTGCTTGCGGCATTCTGAAAAGTTGATGCCTTTTTTAACTATAGGTGTAGCTGGAAAAAGCATGCATGTCACTCTGTTTGTGCACGGCTCCTTTGGAAAATGACAAACTTGAACACTAAAGATGCTATATGTGAATGCACGTATCAAAGAAAGACATTTTCATGATATTTCCTATTAAAAAATATAATTCTGGAAAAAAGTCTTGGTTATTTTAGTTTGGCTGCAATAAAAGCAGTTTCATTTATTTATATAATAACTTTTAAGGTCAATACTATTAACCCTATAAAGAAATAATTCTCTTTGATTGGCTACAGAACAAACCTCTGTTGTCCAATGACTTTCCTAATTAATCAAACTTGTCTTATTAGTCTTTTTAAGCCTTTAAATTGCCTTTTAAGCTGAATACTAGTGTCTTACAAAATAACCAGAAAATATTTACTGTCATCATGGCAAAGACAAAATAAATTAGTTATTTCAAACAAGTTATTCAACTATTATGCTTCTTAAAAAGTGTATTCTCTCCATTAAATAGCACAGAAATATTTGTATATAATAAAGATTTGTGTGATCGTTATATAGTTTTAAAATCTCAACAAATTATTCCTGATCTATACATGCCAAGCACAAGATGACAAGACTGTTACACTCAATTAGCCAATATTTAAGTTGGTAGACTTAGTAAATCATGGTAAATATTTATGACAATAATTATTTTTTTAAATAAACAAACTTTCTAAAATATTCTATATAAATACATACATCAATTTTATTTGGATTGTGTTTTTCACAATAATTATTGTTCCTTTACAAAAATTACGAAGTTAAGATTATTAGTTACCATAACTTTATTAGTTACTAATAACTAATTAACTAGAAACTAAGCTTTTAATAGTTAAAGATATTACATATAAACATAGTTACCCTGAAGTTATCTAGTATATAGGTGATGATGACTATGTATGCAAACAAATTGACCAATCCTTGCTGCAGCTCTGATACAAGTTTTAAAAAGCACTGCAGTGTTTGGGTGCTCTTAAGTTTGTCTGTTAGTCTACTGGTATTACTGAAATGTGTACGTTCTATGCAAAGTATGAAGCTGACAAGTTAATTCTAGTCACGACTCGCAGTGTGCTTGCGGCATTCTGAGAAGTTGATGCCTTTTTTAACTATAGGTGTAGCTGGAAAAAGCATGCATGACACTCTGTTTGTGCACGGCTCCTTTGGAAAATGACAAACTTGAACACTAAAGATGCTATATGTGAATGCACGTATCAAAGAAAGACATTTTCATGATATTTCCTATCAAAAAAATATAATTCTGGAAAAAAAGTCTTGGTTATTTTAGTTTGGCTGCAATAAAAGCAGTTTCATTTATTTATATAATAACTTTTAAGGTCAATATTATTAACCTTCTAAAGAAATAATTCTCTTAGATTGGCAACAGAACAAACCTCTGTTGTCCAATGACTTTCCTAATTAATCAAACTTGTCTTATTAGTCTTTTTAAGCCTTTAAATAGCCTTTAAAGCTGAATACTAGTGTCTTACAAAATAACCAGAAAATATTTACTGTCATCATGGCAAAGACAAAATAAATTAGTTATTTGAAATGAGTTATTCAGCTATTATGCTTCTTAAAAAGTGTATTCTCTCCATTAAATAGCACAGAAATATTTGTATATAATAAAGATTTGTGTGATCGTTAAATAGTTTTAAAATCTCAACAAATTATTCCTGATCTATACATGCCGGACAAGATGACAAGACTGTTACACTCAATTAGCCAATATTTAAGTTGGTAGACTTAGTAAATCATGGTAAATATTTATGACAATCATTATTTTTTAAATAAACAAACTTTCTAAAATATTCTATATACAATTATATCAATATCCGGTCATGCTTTACAGCAAGGTTTCATTATTAAGTAATATATTTACTAAACAAATGAACAATACTTTTACAGCATGCATCAAGTAGTTCAGAATTTCTAATACTAATGTATATTAACATTACTTGTTAATATTAGGCAACATTGAGTTAAATTAACAAGAACTAACAATGTACAACTGTATTTTCATTAAGTAATGTTTACAAAGTACTGCCAACACTTCACTTTAAAATGACAGCAACTTAAATTATAGCCATTATTTAGCCAACAGCAAATAATATAAATTAATTACAAGCAATAAACCATAATCCAAACCCTAACCTTATTAAGCTAACTCAATTACTTAAAATAAGTTAATTAATATTAATTGTTATTACATTAAATCAACGTGATTTGAGCTGGAAACTTTCTTGTGAACATTCAGTACAGTGTTACTTTAAAAACTCACCGCCATTATTAGCTCAAAGGGGTATTTGTAGACCCTCACAGGGGACTGGTATTTCTGCACCATCTCTGAAACCCTAAAGGGGAAAAACATAAAGCCCAAATTATAATCTAAAAGCATGAGATACTGACAACTGACAACTGTAGTAATCTATAGTAAAATACTATAGTGTTTTTGAACCATACTGTATTGTACTGTATATATTATAGTATACGAACAAATCTTTGTTAATGAATTCTACAGCAGAAAGTAGTATTAGCTATGGTAAACTGATAAACCATAATAAATACTATCTTGTGGTATACTTTAGCTTTTTACTACAGGTGTATTGTGGCAAGTTACTCTATAGTTGAGCTATTCCAGCGTTATGGATTTGACATTTTCAGTATAGACTCAACACATAAATTCACATAGAAAGTATATGTTACATTATATTGAAACATCAGTTTATATTTTCCAGAAGAACTGACCACAGAGTTATGGGACCAGAAAAATATCCTTCTGTAAACATGTTTTGTACTTTAAATGAAGAAAATAAGCATGCGGGATGTGACAAAAAAAGTCTGCGGGTTTGCAGCATGCAGCATACTTTGTAGAAATTCAGTGAATAAAAATGCACATCCCAAAATAAATAATGATAATCAAAAGGTTAAGAGTGGGCTCAATATAAAACAAAAATGATTGGTTTTATTTTATTTAATATTTTCACATTTATGAGGAAAAAGTGTTGTTATGGAAGTGACATCTCTCTGTTATGGATGTGATGGATGTGAAATTGCCACTTGTCTGCCTTTGGTAAATCAAATAGAATAGTTTGAAAACATTAACAGATGGACATTTGAGTACTACTAAAGTACTGTAAAATACTTGCCTACCCAAAAAACCCAGAAACAGTTTCCGTAATTTGGTGAAATATACTACCACATTTTCAAGTTTTCAAGCAGTACTACCTTTTTAAAGTAACATATTAGACTCTTAATTAACTTTTTAAAGTAACGTTAAGTTACTTTTTTAATGTAACGTGAAGTATGCGTGACGTTATTTTTGCGTTATTTATTTATCTGTTTATTTAAGATATCGGCTTAAGATTGTGACATATTACCTTAATAAAAAGTTACTTTACACAATACTGGCAATAATTTGCTCAGTATTGGTGAAGCAAGTCCACGAAAAACAACACGTTTTGTTGTGATGTGGTCAGCATTAAAGAGCAGCAGACACAAGTTCAGACTGAAAACAACGAGCAGGGTTTGTTAACAGTGACTCAAAAGAGGTCATTAGACACGATATCAGCATTCATAATTCACAATCATGAGTTTTGTTATCTTCATCTGCACGGACTATTTAAACTAAACACGAGGAAATCAGCCTGTAAACACAGAGCGACGAACATCGAGTAAACATGGAGGACAGCTGTATAATAATGAACGGCTATACACTTTACCTTTGGAGTAAAAGTTGCAGAGAATGGAGCAAAAAGGAGTCTTAATGAAGTCTGTAGGGAAGAAGTAAGTATCCAGACGGGTTTGCTTTAGTTTTTCTGCTTCATCCTGATCAGGAAGTACAAGCTGTGCGTTGTGTCAGATGAGGTTACATAACATACGTCATTCACACAGTTCACAAACTCCGCCTCAACTCAGCTCAACTTCATGCGATACCTCGAGCGATTTTTTTTTTGTTGCACAAATTGACTATATTTACACAGGTATATGGGGATATTTACACTGGAAGTGTCAGATTAAACTAGAAATGCAGTGCTGTGTCAGGTTATACTAGAAAGTGCAGTGTTTGTTGTGACGTTTCAAGTCCAGCTTGACTAAAAACGATTTCTCAGTGATCTTGCTTCACTCTAAAAACAAATGCTGGATTGTTTCGCACTAAATTTTGGGTAACATACAAACACAATCGTTGAATTAACCATTTTTTTAACTCAACGGTCTATATCTGAACCAATTTTGGGTTGAAACTATCCAGCATTTGTTTTGGAGTGGGTGTCTGAGGTAGTGTTGGTTTTAAATCAGCACATTCGGACTTTGTAGTTCAATAAAATAGTAAAACATCATTTAAAAAAATATTATTTGTTATATAAATGAATTAACTATGATGTACAATTATGAGTACAACGTGACTCGGTTTACCACGGTAGCCTATTTTAAATATTTAGTCTCAAATCGCATGCATGACTTCAGCATTAGCGCAATTAACAATAACAATATTGTACTTTGATATTAGCTGCAAATATGATTTCTCTATTAAGGATTTGCAAAGAATACTTTTCTGGGAATTATATTAAAAAGGTGAAAGTGCGAATATAAAACCAACTTTACCCCAACAATACCAGGGTTCTTAAAGGGATAGCTCACCCCAATATTACAAAGGCTCTTAAAGGGATAGTTCACCCCAAAATTAAAATTCTGTCATCATTTATTCTTTACTTGTTTTGAACCTGTGAGTTTTTTCCACTTGCTGAACACAAGGTACTTTGAAGAAGGTTGAAAAGCATCAACATTTGACATTCAAACTATTCTATTTTGTGTTTTGCTTTTCTCCCAACATTCCTCTAAAGTTCTTATTTTGTATAAAGAACTTTAAAATCACTTAAGTGTGATTAAAAAGTGAGGAAGTTTCCATTTGTGGTGAACTGTCCCTTTAATCAATAGATAGGTAGAACAATGACCACTGATCTTCCTGGTTAAAAGGTGGCCTATACACCCCTTGATTTTTTGATGACGTCGCCTTGACAATCAGTTTACTTTATTGCTGGGCAAAGATTAATTGCAAATAATCCAAAATAAAAGTTTGTGATGTGATACACACATTGAAACAAAACTATACTAAACAGTTGTGTTGCATAGATATTTAAATTTATATATAATCTGTATTATATACATATGATTATATATGAAAATATATAATATATATATATATATATATATATATATATATATATATATATATAT